ATAGTAGATACTTACAAATTGATGATGCGTCTAATAGGTAATTCAATAATTTTTTTATGTAATGAACACAAGAATGCCTTGGATTATACAACAAATATCCTATCATCTTCAACAAGTCAAAGATGCCACAATAAGAATGGAATTTCCGGAAACAAATACAGTGCATTGTGAAGACTTGCCCAATCTAAAGAGTTTTTCCTCAGGAAACATTGTTGAATGGCCATACTTGGAAAATCTTATTTTGAACCACTGCCCTAACTTAAAGAAGTTTGGATTCGGAAAGATTAAAGAGTCACGATTCAAATCATTCATCATGGAAAATGAAGTGCAACATAATATTGATACACAAGTTACCAATTTTTTTGAATCATGGGTTAGTTCTCTATCAAAACACTATTTGCCATAATAGACTAAAAACATTAAGCTTGTTTACGGTTATGCTTTTGCCCTCTTTAATTGTTATTAACTACGATTTTCAAATCTAAACTTTTTTAATTAATTAAGTCCATCTACTTTTTAGATTGAGTGACTTTTGATTCTTTTATAAATATTGTTCTATTATGAGTCTTTAAATTCTCATTTCCTACTTAAATACGTTATAAAAATTTAATACTATTAAATTGTTTTAAATCTTTCTTTGTTCAAAACTCGTTAACCAAAACATTAAATTTCAACCAAAATTGAAAAATATCAATTTTTATTTGTCAAATTAAATCCTATTTTACAACTTTCAAGAAATTCTTCAAATTTTCCTAAATTTAACACTTGAATTTTTTATCTTAAATTAAACATAAATTTCAAATATGTACATAAAGAATTTTCGATAAAAAAATGTGCATTTAAATTTAAAATTTGGGAGACTTAATTAAAAAAAATAGATTACCTTACATCTTTCAAGGTATTGGATATATATTTAGCGAGTCTTTTACTCTGTTTGAACAATTGCCACGTACTCCAGTTGCACAAAATGGTAACAAGTGTAGAAAAATTTAGAGGTTGATGAATTATCAACAATTACTAAGTATGAAATTGGTGACAATGAGGAATTACGCAAGATATTGGATAATCTTCGACCATTACATTTCACCAACTTGTTACTATTCCGGGCAAAAAATTGCGATGACATGTTGGTTGATTTTCTTCTTATTTTGATGAAGAGGTCAAATAAACTTGAAGTTGTCAACATTCAACAATGCAAAATGCAATATTTATTTTACTTTACTCGTGATCTTATCCTTGATGTAGATTGTGACACCCTTACTACCCCAACACATATATTGTAATAATGAAAACTTAACAAAAACAATTTCTCTATTTCGGTAAAAGGGTTCACATGAGAATCTTCAAAATTATTCTTCAATAACCACAACGATAAAAATGAAACGTGAGAGTTTACAAATGATTTTCAAAAATAATATTTACAATTCTAATTCCATATAACAATCTATGTCCTAAAGAAAATCCTCTGCCCCGATGTCACAATATCAGAGCATAACCACAACTCAACCGTTAGCATTCTAGATGTCACTCGTAGCCGGATCTTCCTCACCTAAAATATCCACAAATCGCACGGTGAGAAAAGAAAACATCTATATATATAGCACATAAGAAAACACAACATATTATCTCATTATAACTTAATATTCATAAATATTTCAACATATCGTATTTCAATCAATCATACATCGTCATCACGTCATAATTCTCAATCACACCAATCATCACAAATCTTGCACTTCACACTATGCCAAGGTCACGCTACCCATTTAACAATCTCAGGCCGTGCTCACCCCTGATATAACACTGTGCCAAGGTCACGTTATCCCTAT